GTCTAGAAGAAAAGCAAACACTTTTCATCCCCGGAGAGGCCCATCATCCTCCCACTCTGGTGGAGGGTTTTGACGTGTATCTCTGGGTCCTCCTTCCTAGTGAATTTTGGGACCTCTAGCTTCGCCTTCTTCGAGAATGGGGTTTCATGCACCCGGTCGGTGAACGGAGATTCGTTCAACAAAATTTTCTTCTTTTCGTCCCGGTCTACCCGTCGCTGCAATTTCTCGAAACGCGCTTCTACCTGGCCCACACGGTCCCTGGGTTATTCAACGTGGGTGCGGACCATGCGCCTTGGATGGCTTTCCGCTTCCTCTTCTCCATGGGGCGCCCGACTAATCTGGGGCTCATCGCGAGGGGGTGGTTCCGTGCGCCTGGTTCGACCTGGTCGCCCGGCCCCTCTCCCCAGACGGTCAAAGGCGCTCACCGGGGTCGTTTCTACTCCCAATCGCTCTTTGGCCGGTCGGTTTTGGTTCCTGCCATCGTGTCCAAGTCTCTGGAACGCCCATCTCCTGGATCCTTCAGGCTGGACTACCTTTCCCTTCAACTTCTTTTGTGCATGGGGAAGATCCTAGTCCTCATCTTTGTTGTGGACCGAGCACACTTCGCCATTCGGCGTGATCGGGGGGTGTGATCTCCGGGACCGACTCCTTCTGGACCGGGATGGACCAACTTTGTCCATTTCCCCGATCAGATTTGTCGGGACCACTGGGCGGATGATATTAGTTTGGGGCAAAGACTGTGGGTATAATCCGGGGATGAAGGGAGAAAACCCTCCCGGCTGTTGAAACATGGACATAAACTGTCCAAAGTTCTGGAATGCCTGAGAATACATCGGGTCCATGGGCCTAGGAAAATTTGGGGGAAACATCGGTGTTGGTCTTATGGGGGACCATCGATCACCCTAAGGGATTCGCTACTATGCTAGTCACGGTATCGGGTACTGACAGCTCAACCTGACGAGGTACACGAGTCGTGTATCTTGCGAAGCCCCTCCTGTCCATCCACCGCTCAGTAGTGGGGCTCCGCTCTGCCGTAGTGAACTATAGGGGGTGCCCTATAGGAATCTACCTCGGCTTGGGGCTATAGAGATGTGGTTAAATACAAAGTGTCCACCTTCCTATCACCAATTGGTTTTAGGAAGCATTTGGCACCTCTTCAACTTTAGAACTCTGTAGTTAAGCATGCTAGAACGAGAGTAGTCCCAGGATGGGTGACCCACTGGGAAGTTCTAGAAAACGATCTTACAAGTGGTATCGGAGCGAGGAAGCAGGCTCGAATCCCCTGGGTGTCGCTGGGGGGGAGATTGTTGGTCTTATGGGGGACCATCTATCACCCTCAGGGATTCGCTACTGTGCTAGTCACGGTATCGGGTACTGACAGCCCAACCTAACGAGGTACACGAGTCGTGTATCTTGCGAAGCCCCTTTTGTCCATCCACCGCTCAGTAGTGGGGCTCCGCTCTGCCGTAGTGATCTATAGGGGGTGCCCTATAGGAATCTACCTCGGCTTGGGGCTACAAAGATGTGGTTAAATACAAAGTGTCCACCTTCCTATCACCAATTGGTTTTAGGAAGCCTTTGGCACCTCTTTAACTTTAGAACTCTGTAGTTAAGCGTGCTTGAACGGGAGTAGTCCCAAGATGGGTGACCCACTGGGAAGTTCCAGAAAATGATCCTACAATCGGGACATAGGTTACAGGGGAAGTGAACGGGGTTGGTCTTATGGGGGACCATCGATCACCCTTAGGGATTTGCTACTGTGCTAGTCACGGTACCGGGTACTAACAGACAGCCCAACCTAACGAGGTACACGAGTCGTGTATCTTGCGAAGCCCCTCCTGTCCATCTACCGTTCAGTAGTGGGGCTCCGCTCTGCCGTAGTGAACTATAGGGGGTGCCCTATAGGAATCTACCTCGGCTTGGGGCTACAAAGATGTGGTTAAATACAAAGTGTCCACCTTCCTATCACCAATTGGTTTTAGAAAGCCTTTGGCACCTCTTTAACTTCAGAACTCTGTAGTTAAGTGTGCTGGAACGGGAGTAGTCCCAGGATGGGTGACCCACTGGGAAGTTCCAGAAAACGATCCTACAATCGGGACATAGGTTGCAGGGGAAGTGAACGGGGTAGGTGTTGGAATGGTGATTATGGGGGTAGGAATTAGGGTTGCTGGTTGGGTACTCCCTCCCGGGAATGACGTGACGTTCTCAATGGGAGTAGAGATTTGGGAAATGACGGTCTCCTGGTTACTTGTCATGGCTTAGTTGTAATAGGTCCCACGGGTGGCGCCAAATTGCTTAGTTGTAATAGGTCCCACGGGTGGCGCCAAATTGATGGTGTAAATTACCGCGCTAATATGAATTATAAGTAATCGGAAGGGCTGTAGGTGGAAACACCTGTAACCCGATTTGTTATTAATTATAATAGGAGCTATTACAAAGTACAAGCCGTGTGGATTAATTAAAGCATGCCTCACAAATGAGGCTTTTAGGGGTATTTATAGTAATCCTAAGCACGTTAAGCACGTCTAACACTGCCCAGTCAGTCAATGAACTGCCCAATCTATTTACATGTCTTCTCAACCCAAGACTGTGTCTTCAGTTCCGGATGTCAGACCGGTCTCTCAGACCGGGTGGACTTGGCTAGGCGGCGTCACGTCTGGTACCTCCCAATCGGTCGGACCTACCGGGGCGGTATTCATGGGTTATTACCCATCAACAATATTTAAATTTGCTTCCGCAATATTGTTGAATACTCCGTACTGTATATGTTATGAAAAATATTATTGTAAATAAAAGTGTTTGAAAAGTTTTAAATTCTTACGATTACCAAGTTAATACTTTAGTCCGAAAGGGACTGCAAACCTGGATGGATTAGAGTGTTACACTTACCTTGGGCTAAAATGAAGGATTTAGGAAAATTCCAGCAAGGATTATGACTCACTCCGACGACCCCTCACCAAATTGACAGCACCATTACACTCCTCTCTCAACAAAGAACATAATTAAAGAAGAAATGGGAAGGGTTGGTGAAGAATTGAAGGAGTTGGGTACTCCTTATGTAAGAATGGTGAAGGGAAGAAGCTAATTTCACATTGCTTCCTTTCCCTATTCGATCAGCTGAGTGGAGTGAGCGGCGACGTTTGAAGATTTACACGTCTTCCCCTGATTGGGACTAATTTGTTCCCAGCCGGGGTACACTTTTTGGTCCAACTTTCTCCAAATTATAAGCACAAAGGGTAAGCACACAAGACTCTATCAAACTGTAGTAACACGCCCACTTTGCCTTTATTTTAGTAGTAACGGTACCAAACAAAGGGAGATGGAAGGCGTGAGTCTCATGGCTCCACCTCTCAATTAAGGCGGTGATCAAGCCCCAATCAAGTTACAGTTTACTCACTCGATCTGCCCTGTAAAACCCATTATTTCGTAAAATAGCATCAACACGCCCATGAAGAACTCACGCCACATCCTGTTGTAAACTCCCAAATTATCTAACACACTTCAAAACAACATGCCACACCCTCTCGCTTCTATGTTCACTCGGTTTTAAAGTCAAAATGTCTCGTGCAATTGGTCTCTGGTGTATACTATAACCTTCAAAATTTATAGTTCTTCAATAACAAGATCTTATACCTAAAAAATAAAACATTTAGTAAGAATTTCATGACCTTATAAAAGTTTAATCAACAAACTCAAACAAAAAAAGACATGTAATATGGAATCAGAAAAATATGAAACAAAAATATGGATTTACAAAAATACATAGAACATGAAGCAAAACTATGAAATTAAACATCACTAACATTATTTTGGATGATTTTCTAAAAAATATGAAATTGGAGTGAAATCAAACTGGAAAATGGAGGTATTACTTCCGTTTGAGCTCCGATGTTCTCCGGCAACGTTCGAGAATGGAGGTCCTCTCTTCCGGCGCGGGAACGGAGGTCTTCTCTTCTCTCTCCGGCCTTCTCGTCCTCCCGCGTTTGGATTTTTTGGGAGAACCAGTTTGGATACACAAGGCTTTTGGGGAGATGGAAGGACAATAACACATTTAAGCAAGACGAAGGTAGCAGCTCCGTTTTTCCATGTGTCAACCACGCATTTTTAAATGACATATTTTTGATTTTCTTATTTTTTTAAAAAAGGACCGTGCTACACACCACCCACCCTTGCTACCAACCTTGCCTCCACCCACTTGTCCACCACATATTTATTTCTACCCATTCTCCACCCACCCTCTAATTTTAATTTTCTTGCCTCATTACCACATGTTTATGTAGAGGGGCATGGTTGGTAGCAAGGGTGGGGGGTTTTTAGCATTTTCCTTTTAAAAAATCAAGACATCACTAGTACTTCTATTTTACCATGTGTAAACTCTGAGTTTTTTAGGTGACATACATTTTCATTTTCTAATTTTTTTTAAAATTCGAAAGCGGAGACTTTACCCTCACATGCACTGATAGAAAAACCTTTTTGGTTTCCTACATATATTAGTACTTACGCCAAGGTTCCCATGACATTGCTCGGCAATGTCATGGGATGATCCGGGGGTGCTCCAGTTCCTCGCTCGTCAAATTAACGGTTCATACTCTTCCTAACTCCCCGGTAAACCCCCACCCCACCCTGACCTGAACACACCCCCACCCTCTTCGATTGCACCCCACAAGTTTATTTTGACTTTGGAGTCAAAATTTGACCCCAAAGTCAAAATCAACTTGTAGGGTGCAATTGAAGGGGTGTGGGGTGTGTTTGGGTTGGGGCGGGGTAGGGGGTGAACCATGAGATTAGAGGGGGTAGGAACCGTCAATTTTACGAACGGGGCACCAGAGCGTCCTGGGTCATCCCATGACATTGCCGGGCAATGTCATGGGAACCTTGCCGTAGTACTTAATTAAAAAAAACCACCCACAGTTGCACAAATTAACAAAACGTTTTCCACTATTGTCAAAAAAAATTACAAAACCCTTTCGCTCACTGCATGATTAAAACACAAACCACAGCCACTCTTCCTTATTCTCTCCTATCGGTCGATGCACCAACATAAACGATTGCCGTAGGTGATTCAATCAAGACGACCACGAAGAAGTACTCAAATTAGATCCAATCAATTCCAGTCAAGGTTTAGGTGAGTAATTCGATATTTGATTGTTCTCCTGGTTTGTTCCGGTTTTATCGTGTTTGTGTTGTGATTGGGATGCGATGCTTGGGCATGGGTTTTGGGTGCGATTGGGGAGGGGTCTAGGTGTCAAAGGGTGGGCTGGGGGGTGGGCTTCGAATGGGCTTCAGGTGGGTGGGGTGGTCTGGACTGCGTGGCCAGCAGACTTGGTACTGGCCGGCTGGGGTAGGGGTTTAAGATATGTTTGGATTGAGAGAGGTGGAGGTAGGGTAAGGTAAGATGACTTTGTTTGGGGAAAACAATTGGGAAAAAAAATGAGATATGTAAAAGGAGGTGAAGGGAGGTAATTTAAGCTCTTAAGCATGAAAAAATAGAGACCCGACAATAAGCCTAGGTAATTCTTCCATATTTTTTCGTTCTTCTGCCGCCATCCCCCCATCCTCCCACGATCCTTCTCTCCTCCGGCGATTCTTCTTCCCTCGGGCTACGATCTTTCTCTCCTCCGGCGATTCTTCTTCCCCCATCCCCCATCCTCCGAGGATCCTTCTCTCCTCTGGCGACACCCTTCTCTCCTCCTGAATATTTCAGGAACCTTTTTTTGCTATTTATTGAAACTAGATTAACTTTGAGCATCAATTCAATAAAATTTATTTTCAAGAAATACATTACAATTTAAATTTAATTAATACCTTTATCCATATATAATGTATTGTAATTTTTATTTAACTGATGATCAAAATTTATCTATAATATAAATTTTGACTTTAAAAAATCAAACTGGATAAATTTATTAGGGAGGGAGGTAGTATTTTTATTTTTTAAAATACGAGTAACATATTTCCTCATTTCCTATTTACAAATTACTAGTGTTAACCCCGTGCTTCGCACGGGCTCGTATACATTCTAAACTTTTGACATTCTATAAATACTCCCTCCGTTCCAGAGTATTTGTCCACTTTCATTTTTACACACCATCCAATGCACTTCTTTAATCCATTTTATCTTGTAATTTGTATATTAAAAAATTATAGAAATTATATATTAATAATCTATATGTTAAGACAAATCAAACAAGATCACACGTGACTATATTTATGCTTACACATTGAGAGAATTTGATGAGTCAAAGTGCTTAGATGAACAGTTTCAAAAGTTAAAAGTGGACAAAAACTGGGGGACGGAGGGAGTATAATTTTATTTATTTTAGTTTTCTAATAGTGACATAATATGTGTTAGATGAATATTTTGCTTTAACTCTAAGATATATATCTTTTTTCAAATAATATAATTTAAATATAGATATACATGCACTAAAGATTCTATACGTATTTTCTTTAAAAGTAAGAAAAGAGAAATGATTTATTGTTTTTAAAAATAATATAAATTAAAACTTTATTTTTCAAAACATTGTTTGTTAGTCAGTTTAGACGTTGTGCCCACGCCTTAGAGGGGGGGTGAATAAGGCGTTTAAAATCTTTTCAGAGTTTGATAAAAACGGTGTTGGCAAATGCGGAAGCAATATATAAAACGCAGAAATAAAAGCGTAAAGTAAAATGCACACCGAGTTTATACTGGTTCGGGAAACCCCTACTCCAGTACCTCGAGCCTCCTCCTCAAGGATTTCCGAATCCACTAAGTCTCGGCCTCTTGAACTCCGTCAAAGCACCGCACTAGTTTTGGCAAACAACCCTTTCCAATAGAATTCACTCCGAGATTTCACAACGGCTATCTCGAACCGTTTACAACGAAGGTTTAACGGCTATCTTCTACCGTTCCCCCAAGGATTTCAAAGGCTATCCTTGAACCTTTACCCAAGGATTTATACGGCTATCCTTAACCGTTACAACGTGAGAATTTGACGGCTATTCTCGACCGTAAGAAGATGTGTTTGAAGAACACAAAAGTAGATTCTACACAACGGCTAGAATATTAAATTGAAGAACAAAACTTAGTCGGTGTAGAAGGAAAGTATACTCTCTCAAAAATACAATTCAAACTTATGAATATGAGAGTATATAACTAGAAACACAAGCTCAAAGTGTGTGTATAAAAATCAAGAATTTAAGGCTCTTAAAATAGCCAAAATATTGAAAATAATTAATAAAAGGATGAACACACTTAGAATAAAAAGAGAGGATGTTTAGAGCTTTGTTTTTTGAAGAAATATGAAGGATTAGGCTTGTATTTATAGTGGAAGATGTTAATTAGCCGTTGGGAGGTGATTAGGATTGATTAAATTCAAAATCACAAATCAGGAACAGTAATCCAACGGTCACGGTAGGTCGGTACCGTCCACACGGTAGCATGGTACCGTGCGTACGGTAGGGGGGTACCGTGAGTGGCGGTACCTCGGTACCGTGTTACACCAAAAAGTCATTCGGCTCTGGCGGTACCTGGTTAGGACGGGTTGGGCCAACCGTCTACCCCTACCGTCCGGTACCTAGGTACCGTTACACGGTATGGGGGTACCGTGTAGGCGGTATACCCTACCGTTTGGGGTACTGCTAGGGGTATCTACTACAAAATATACATTACACAGCGGATAAATATTGCTTTTCCCATCGGAAAACAGTCGCTGTCCATGCAAGCGATGGGAAAGCTCTCATGTTTATGCAGCGCATATTTATCCGATGTGTAAACTTTACGTAGCGCTTATTTATTCGATGTGTAAACTTTACACATCGGATAATATATGCGATGGGTAAATATTACACAGCGAATAAATATGCGCTATGTAAACTTAACACATCGGATTAATATGCATTGGGTAAATATGGGAGCTTTCACATCGATTGCATAGACAGCGACTGTTTTACACTTTACACAACGGACAAATATGCGCGACGTAAACTTTATATAGAGACAAAATATTCGATGTGTAACATGATGATGTTTAAGCATTAAAACTTCTTTCCCATCGGATGAATAATTTTTTTAATGAGAAAATATATTTATTTAATGTGCAAGATTGGAATATATAAAACAAAACATATTTTATTAAAAAAGTATAAAATAAAATACATGAGGGGAGGACCAAACCAAAGCCCCTCCAAAAATAGCAAGAATGTAACATAAGTTTAAAGTGAGCCAAATAACTAATGCTTGCTAAAATATAGTACTCAAGCCAAAATAATTGTTTTTTGCAAAAAAATAAAGCTAGCTAGTGTCATATACTCTGCCAACACTTCATGCAATGGCCTGAAAGTCATAAATCCAATTGCTCCCTAACTCATTTGATCGATCATAAGGATATGGAGAACCCCTATATTCCAAGCTTACTACAAACTTTAAATAAACCCTTCTTCACCACCAAAATCTGCAAATTAAAAAAATTAAATCAATCTTAATAACAATGAATGAGTAACTTTCAGAGTAAATGACATAATTTCTCTAAAGGCATATCTTCATCAACAAAAACTAAAATAACATTTTTTTAAAGAGGAAATGAGCATATCCAATAGATAAAA